GTCAATGATCCTAAGCCTTTTGCAGCCCAAAAACATTAATGCAAAACATTTTTTTTATGATGTGCGTTGTCAGTTGATAAGTTGATATTCAAAAATTAGTGTCTAAACATTTTACTGTTTGATCCCTGCAGAGAACTCCATACCAAACAGACACGCAGCTGCATAAATAAATATATACATGAATATGTAACACTAGCATGATTAGATTGAATCTTTGGATGCTAAACTGTGCAGGTTATGTTTGTATAAGTCTAATAAATGATTTATATTACCCAGTCTACGCACACATCACTTCCACTGATTCCAAATGCCTGGATAGATAACAGCTAATCTGCATTGGAATGCAGTGTTTGTTTCTTGTGATTGCATTTAAATGAAAATGAACTTTGGTGAAGCCGTTGACATTTTTAAGATATGATGAATAACTTTAAATTCTTTATTTTATTATCTACATGTAGTGAGTTTCTTCTGAACTGTGAAGCTGGTCTTTTTTGAATATCCTTTCATCTTTTTTTCTGGACTTGAGCTGATTTGTATGGAGTGAAATTTGCTCCAGTATATATTGAAAAAAAAGAAATACAAATGAAAACTTAAACTTGATGCTTGAAAACGGGTTTTGAGAGTAACTTTACAGTATTCTCAGATTTGATTTCTTTTAAGGCTCAACTTACATTGTTTTCCACAGTTTTTTTTTTTTTTTTTACATTTTTTTATTTGTTTAATGTTGTATTTTAGTTTTCTTTATGTGAATCTATTCTTTTTAGATTACTGTATTACAGGCTTTCTTTCACATTCTCTTCACCTCAAACAAAAAACATTCTCTTCAAAAAGACAAAAACTCACCCTTGTTGCGTTTATTGACCAACGCAATGTTGATGCTTTTGTCCAAGCTGACCAATAGAAATGCTTTATTCCCTCTCACTCTAGATGAAACCCCTCCTCCAGAAGTGAAGAGAATGTGATCTGTGAAACTAAGCTTGAAAATAATAAAATTCTTAAAATTTGATCTGAAAAACTCAAATCTATTAGCTTAGTAAATTAGCCCCACTAAATTACACATTTAATCCCACATGTAGTCTGGTTTATCAGGCTACAAATCAATGAAAAAACAATTAAAAATATAAATAAACTATAAAACTATATCGATGTAAAGAATAATAAAAGAAAATCAATATGAAAAGAACATTTGACAAAATAAAATATTCAAAAATACATTTTTAAAAACAAACCCAACAAAGTAACTCTCAAAGCCTCTTTTTGATTAAAACGTTTTTTTTTTTTAGATTGCTTTACAACATTCAATTTACAATCATGTTTTGTTTTAGTTTTTTCTGCTTGCAGAAATAATGGACCAAAATTCATTCCATAATTTTTAACTCCTTTGTTTCTATAGCATTACTTTTTTTATGAGGTGCATCAAGTAGAATCTAACATATTTTGAAATCTCACATTTAAGGCAGTAGTAGCCTTTTATCTTTTTTTCCATATACAAACAGCAGTTGGCATTGGGTCACTTAGCATCACCACCCTAAACATACCACATTTAAACAACTAGAAACCTGGAATCTTTTAAACAAAATGATTTAAGGGTTAGCCGTCAAATGTGGCTCCTGCTTCTTAAATATGTCCCTACTAGGTCCTGCCCATACCTCGAAGATTAAAATGTATGCCAAAACTTAGTTTAACAGAGTAATGGATGTGTTTCGACAGCTGTGGGTGTAATAATTGGAACTTCGTATGAGCTAAGCTAACGTTAGCTTAACTGTTCATTGATTAAATTGAGGTTCATAAATAGACATTTACATTTCTAAACTTTTTTTTTAGCTTCTGTATCCAACATTGTGTTTGGAAAGATGTCAGTTAATGACAGAGATGGATGATGGATATAAAGTAAGAGTTCTACTCTTTAGGAGACGTTGATTAGCCTAAAGAAGCCTTGCTAAAGCTAATAGCCATAAAGACAGAAAACAGTACTCCCTCAAGATGCCGGAACAAAACATGGAGATATAAACTCCCGCTTTAAATTAGGATAAAAAACTAAGCTTAAAAAAAAAAAAAAAAGGCTTGCATTTCATTTTCGCGTTCATTTTTTTATGTAATTGTCTTGTTTTAATGAGTTCCTTTTCATCTTTTTTTACTATCTGCATTGCCTCTGTGCCACTATAATGTACTTTTCTGTTTTTTCCTCATGTTCAGCACTTTAAATTTATACCACACATTTACTATAATGTGTGGTATCAATAAACTTCCTTTTTTTAGTCTCCATAGTAAATATACATCATCTAAGCAGTAAAAGATGCTATCCCCCCCATCCTCTGTCGTCACGGCGACCTTTTTTGCACTCCCTCGTCTCTTCCTGTTTGCCTTCCCTCCTCCGTCTCCGTCTGCTGACTCCCTTCCATCCCGGGAGGGCCTTACGCCACCACGCTAGCCGTTAAACGACATGTCATTGCCACGCCGCAGGCAATGTCATCCGTCCTGCAAGGGGCTCGCCTGGCACCTCTAGTGCCAGTCCTACGGTGCTGATGGGTTTATATCACATTGAGTGAGCTCTCATACGGCTGACCGACTGATATATGGCCTCATTATAATGTTTGATGGCTGCGGTGGAGCCGGGTGATTATACTGCTGATAGAGCGCAGCCAACGAGGGATTCAATAAGCTGATCGCTCATTAAGACGCAAATCGATCAGGAGCATTGACTTTTTTTTTTTTTGTTCAGTGACTGTGTGAACAGGTGTGTCACGGTCTGGTTGGTTTGTTTGTGCGCCCTCATTGAAGGAGCCGCCATGTTTTTTTGCCAGCGCCGGCTCGCCGAGCTCTTCAGCCCCTGGGCCTGACCATGCCAGCTGCTGGGAGGCAGTTCAGAGTCAGCTGTTGCTGGCGACGAAGAGGCGCGGAGGAGGGGCTGTCAAAAAAAGAAAAAAAAAACAGAATTGGAATTGTTTTGTGTGTGCACAGCTGGTGAGCTGCTCCTCTTTGTGGATGGTGATAGCTGCTGACACCAGGCTGTGATTTGCTGAACGGTGGGCACAATGCAGTCTGTGGAGCTAACTGCCAGGTTCAGGAAAACTTCACTTTTTCAACCATGAATTATCTCATCAGCTGTGCATTTGTGCCTGTACAGTTACATTTTTTTTATTTTTAGTCCTCCTCCGCAACAGTTTGTTGGCAGAGACCACTAGATTGCTCTTTAGGGTCTTTCATTTCAAAATCCCCATCAGGTTAGGGATCCCTCCAGTTTTTAGATTTCTCTGCTCCAGCGCATCTGGACCAAAAGAAATCCCTCCTCGGTAGCCATCAAGGGCTGCAGGAGACAGGTAGTCACTCTTTAATTTAGGGCAACGGGCTGAATTTTGTTCCATTATTGCTGCAAGAAAACAACAGCTATTTTAAATTGAAATCTGCAAAAAAAAAGCAGTCCTGAAATAAAATGTGTTCATCAAAAATCTAACTTCTATCTTTTATTCTCAGATTTTGTTTTTGTTTTTCAATTCATTTTCGGTTTTCAATATTTTTTTTCCTCAAAAATATTATTTTATAGATTTATATATATATTATTTATCTTTTTTAATTCTGTTTTTCAAATTTTCAGGTTGAGTTATAATGAAATGCAATCTTTTCAAATATTAACAGAACACATTCTCACAGTCTCACATTCACATTTATCCCTGATATAAATGCACACACAAGTGCATTACCAGTAGAAAGGTTGCTAACGTCAATGCAGACCCATAGAAATGCTTCTTCACTCCTCACTTTAAAGAAAGGCAGAATGTGAAGAGAATGTGATCCGGAAAACCAAATCTGTAAGGATGAAAATTTGTAAAACCCAATCTGAAAAAAAAAAAAAAATATATATATATATATATATATTATATCGGATCGGTTCACGGTTTCGTGGTCACGGTTTTCGGTTCGGTTCGGTATATGTTTATTGTTACACCGAAAAATTTAAAAAAATTATAAAAATTAATGAAAAATAAAAATTTATGAAATTAATGAGAAAAAAACCCCCAAAAAATGAATGGATTGTAATTATTTTTAATGATCCGCGGAAACCATGGATCATTTCCACATGTTTTGCTGCTTTGAATTTAATCATCTCGGGCATGCCCTCTACGATCTCCAAGGAACTCAGAGCGGAGCGGACGGGGGCCACAGCGGACACTGTATGCTTTGCTTTGTGCAGGCGGTCTGGTCCGCAGCGGGACAAAGCGGAGCGGAGCGCTGATGGAGTATGAGGGATTTCGGGGTTAGCATGACATGTTGGCCGGGTTGCTGTTAGCACAAACAAAACGTGTTGCACAATGTTTGCACACTGTTGCACTTTTATCCACAACTTTCTTTCCGCTGTCATCGTAGGTCACTCTAAAGGCCTTGCCTTGCCTTGCCTTCTGCTCTGGAGTGTAAACGCTTCGCCTATGAGAAAAAGGAGCAGCGCATGAACTGAACGAAACACACGCGAATTGAACCGAGACGGTCGAACCGAACGGTTTGGACGGTTTTCAAAAACCATATATAGATATATATATATAGATATATATATATTTATAGATATATATATATATATATATATATATAGATCTTTACTGTCTTGTTTAATTCCTCTAATATTTTTGTTGTATCCTTTACTTCTTAATCTGGCCTTTCAAGAATATGGATAGTGCTAAATGTAATGTTACTAAGTGTGTTGCCACATAGAGAGAATGGGTGGGCTGGTGTATTTTTTATTTTTTAGGTGGGGGGGGGTTAAGTGAAAAAAAAAGAAAAAGAAAGAAGAATAATATTGTATCCTGGATGTAGATTCTGTATGGACATACATTCTGAATAAATATATATATACAAAAAAAATGGCTCCTTGGGTTTAAAATGTTGAAGATGCCTGTCTTAGACCGTGGACTCTGTGGACGTCCAACATTGCCTCTGTAGGTCTTTGTTGTGTTTGCTAAAGAAGGAAGCGGTAAACAGGGCTACTTGTGTGTTTATGTTTTCTATAGTTGGTGGAGCCGCTGACTCCCAGTGGGACAGCCCCAAATCAAGCTCAGCTACGCATCCTGAAAGAGACGGAGCTGAAGAGGGTCAAGATTCTGGGTTCTGGAGCTTTCGGAACTGTCTATAAGGTCTGGAACTATCCAATTAATTTGCAAAATATAGCAATAATGACATAAAATGTTTGGTTACTTCCTGTCTTACTTTTTCCTTTATATCATTTATTTCTTATTTTTATCAATTAATGTCTCTTTATCCCCTTTTTCTACCTTCACATAGAAGCAAAGCAGGCCCTCAGGGTCTGTGTCAGGGTCATGGCTGTATGTTTTTGGGCATATGAGCCCTCCTGATTGTAAATTTATAGCCAGTGCTTGTATACTTTCAGGGCATCTGGATCCCAGAAGGCGAGACGGTGAAGATTCCCGTTGCTATAAAAATCCTCAACGAGACCACAGGCCCCAAAGCCAATGTGGAGTTCATGGATGTAAGTATCGTTTTTACTGCACGTGACGGCTCTGTTTCCACGCCTCTCAATGTTAAAGCTGTAAAGTCGAACGGGAGGACCAAGGTTATGCAAGTTTTGCTGTTCGGTCTGAGTCGGTGCTGGTAATAAAGAGAATCTCACTGCAGCATACAGTGGCGGATGTATTCAACAAGACTCTATTAAAAACAGCACCCAGCTTATGAGCCATGGCTTTATTGGAATCCAAGAGTGATAGCGGGAATTGGAAAAAAGAAGTAAGCTGTGGAGTTTTGAGCTTATTACCACCTTATCTGTGCCACCCTTGTTTTCTCTTTCTTTTCATCCAGGACTCAGTCACACATGTGCAGTTTAACTGACAGATATTTAAGTTATATAGAAATAAAAGCAGAAGTTGCAGCAACTGCAGCACAGTCAGGGGATTGCTTTATTTCACCGAGGCTTTGCACACCAAAAAAGAAGAGTCTTTTTGTCAGCCAGGCAGTCGGGGATCCGTACAGATGTTGAATCAACTCTGGAATATTTTGCTTAAAGGAAAGGTTCGTTTTAACTGTCAGGTCTATGGAGTGAACTTTATCCCATTATTATGGCAAAGACAATGTTTTGTAAATGGAAATTTGTAGAACATGAAATAAAAAAAATAAACCTTGAATAACATTTTAATACTGTAAATAAAAAAGGTTCAGAGTAACGTTGAGTATTTTAATAGTAACTTTGCTATTTTAACAAATATATTTTTTCAGCATTTTTCTCAAACTAATTCACAAAATTATTTATATATATATATTTTAATTATACCTCTTGAAAATAGTCTTTGAAAGTCTATATTTTCAAGTGTTTTTAATTAACTGAACACACTAAAGGTTATTTTAAAATCAATTGCATTCTCTTCACTTCAAGCCAAATAAAAACATTCTTTCTTCACCCATAAAAACGTTGTGGCTAATGTCCAGCAGATCAATTAAAAGGCGACTTCACTCCTCGCTCCAGAGTAAAATTCCTCCAGAAGTTAAGGGAATGTGATCTGGAAAATGCAATTTGGAAACATGCAATTAGTAAAACTCAATCTGAGAAATTTCAAAAAAAAAATTTTAAACCTGTAAGACATCTGTAAGATACGGAAGAGGATTAGGGCCACTAAAAAAAAAAAAGTTAACTGATTTTTACATTTTTTTTTTTTCAGTTTAGTATGGGAACAAAGTCAGAATTCTACGACGGAGTATTAGGGCCATACATGAAGAGAAAAAATATTTTTGCCATGACGAGATTAAACTCGACATGTCGACTTTAAAGTCGACATGTCGACATTAAACTCAACATTTCGAGAATAAAGTTAAAATGTCATGTTGAGTTTAATCTCGCCCTGTCGACTTCAAACTCGCCATTTCGAGAATAAAGTTGAAATGTCATGTTGAGTTTAATCTCGAAGTGTCGACAACAAAGTTTAAATTAGTTCAAGAGAGCCAACCGCTGCACAGGATACATGCACAGAATCCTATACAGTTGCAGCACGTCAAAGACTACCTTCACTCTTAAAACGCATACTGCTGCTGTGGAGCCCGGTTGCTCTTTTCTCCAAACTTTGGAATGTCGAGATTAAAGTCGCCACGATATATCAACTTTATTCTCGAAATGGCGAGTTTGAAGTCGACACGTCGAGATTAAACTCAACATGACATTTCAACTTTATTCTCAAACAGTTGAGTTTAAAGTCGACATGTCGACTTTAAAGTCGACATGTCGAGTTTAATCTCATCATGGCAAAAATATTTTTTCTCTTCATGTGTGGCCCTAATACTCCGTCGTAGAATTCTGACTTTAATCTCAGAATTCTGACTTTTTTTCCTCAGAATTCTGACAATAAAAAAGTCAGAATTCTGAGAAAAAAAAGTCAGAATTCTGAGATTAAAGTCAGAATTCTGAGATTAAAATCAGAATTCTGACTTTTTTCCCATACTATACTGAAATAAAATAAAAAAATCAGTTAACATTTTTTTTTCAGTGGCCCTAATCCACTTCCGTAGTAAGATAATATAAAAATGGGTGAAATAAAATAAATACATAAAAAAAAAAAAAAAACAAGGGTTTGAGAAAATCTTTAAAAAACGGTCTGAGAAAATCCTTAAAACAAAAAATATATATATGTTTTACAACATTTTGTGAAGTTTTATTGATTGAAATGTTTTGAGGTTTTCATTGATTTTTCCTGTTTTAAATCCAGTTTTGTGTATTTTGTTCTCAAAAAAAAAACCCCCATCTATTTAGAGAAAAACTTTGTGGCCTCAATTTAATTCCACAGTAAAATGATACAAACAGAACCGTATTCCACAGTTAGGATAAGGTACATCTTGGACCCAGTGGTCCTCCCTCCAGAATGAGGAGCGAAGACACATTTCTGCTGCTTTGCTGGACGTTAGCAACAACGTTTTTATTAGTCAAAAGGAAGTGTTTGTTTCAAGCTTAAAGTGAATGAAACCTTAAATCCGGAATCCAATCTGAAAAGAAGGAAATACATAAAACCCAATTAGAAAAAGAAGATTTCAAAAACTAAATGTGTGAAAAAGAAAACCTACCATCCAAACTTTTTTCTTTCCTAAAGGAAAAGTCCAGTCAGCAACGAATGATCAATGGATCATTATCTATACCTGAAACTAATATCTTTGTGGTGATTTATTGAATTTAGCATTAATCGGTAAAAAAATAAAAATAATCATTTTCGTCACGATTACTGAGTCTGGGAATGGCCATTTTTGCCCAAATATAGTCACACCTCACTCCTGACATCGTCCGACATTGACGTCATAGTGCGGTTAGCCTAGCGCCATTCTCCCGCTTTACAAGCAAAATCAGTGGGAGCTACTAGACACATCTGCAATCAACAACAATTATTGAAGATTTCCAGAGGACTTCACCATTGAAATTCACGAAAGCTATAGCTACACTGACCATGCCCACGTGCATGGCAGTTGGATGTTGTAATACATTGGGTAAAAGTGAAAATAAATTTGTTATTTGACCTTTCTGATTCATGATCCACCACGGGTTTGTCGTTGGATTGCCAACTTGAAGAGGGAGGATTTGCTATTAAACTTCAAGCCAGAGAAAAAACAGGTAATATGTAGCCAACATTTTGAAGAAGAATGTTTTCAAGATGACTTGGATAATAGCGCGTTCTGACAAACACCTGATACAGCACTGGGACTTGATCAACAGCCGATACCGCCCAGTGATGTCACAAACCAGTAGGTGGCAGTAGTGTTCTTTGACAAACATGGATGTCTCCAGTAAAGCACATTCACATGAAAATTACTCTTAATTAAAAAGACTTATAATATGTAATCATTTCATATTTAAGCTACTTTCAGAAGTTTGAATTCTGAATATGACCGGACTTTTCCTTTAAGAGCTTTATTGAAACAATAACGGAACAAAATTCACTTCATAGAGTGTATTGCTGACCTGATGACTAAAAGGTGCTCAGGTCCCGTTACTACAAATCAAGGGATGCGTGTCCCTAACTCTATTCACGTGTAACTATTAAAACATAAACTAATTTAAACAGCTAAGCAAGGGCGTAGGAATATGTTTACAATTGGGGGGGACACATGTCGGAAATCTGAGATTCGTAAATATTCAACAGAAACATATCTTAAGTACGCTACTTAAAAAAAGGCTATTTAATCTTTTACTTTATTCCTTTATAAATGTGTTTGCAAAAATAATGCATTTAAAATTAACATAATGCATTTGTTCATAAGATGTGAGCATATCACCAAACAAAATGACTGGAGTCTTTTATTAAGCAAAGGGAGATGTCTTTCAAGGGCTTCAGCCCTTGGCATATTTAGTGTCCGCATACGCACTAGAAAATCAAAACAATTCAGTAGGCCATACAAGTGCAAAGTTTGGTATGTTTTATTTTGTCAAACTTGCAATAATGGTCAAAAATTAATTTATATAGGTTGACTGACAGAGGGAGCTGACAGTGTGTTGAAGAATTATGGACAGGGCGCTTTGAAGCATCTGGTTCAAAAACGCATTATCAACCTTTGGTAGAAATCCATCCATCCTTCCATTTTCTGTACACCCTGTCCCTTAGTGGGGTCGGGAGGTGCTGGTGCGGGGTCCACCCTAGACAGGTGGCCAGTCTGTCCAGACCTTTGGTAGAAATGACGCCTTTAATTCCAATTTGCAGTACAGAACAGAGAAAACTACAGAGTTGTCAATGTTGTGTTAATCTGTTTATAGTCTAAAAAGAGGAGCCAGCAGTTTATTTGAGGAAATAAAGATGCAGAAGTTAATTAGTTGGTTAATTAGTGGTTGTGCAGCAGTCCACTGCACGACCAATGCGGCCGCCGCTGCTAAGAATTAGAATTAATTCTCCCTGTGGTTAACTAACGATCAGGAGCGCGGCAGGTATAACATCTGTCCATTTCGGCGAATCAAAACCATGCAAAAAATAAAAAAATCCTCGTAAAACACACGCCCAGACCGGGCTAATTTCAACACAAGTTGTGTTAGGTGACTGTTACTCACACTGACGTTTCTCTTTTAAAAAAATCTGAGTAAGTCCTGCTGCTGTTTCAGCCTTTTAGTTGGTGGTGGCATTGTACTGAAATGAGATATAAAAAAAAAAATATATAAAAAAAACATTTTGGCTAGCGTGGCAAACGTCTAGAGAAAGTTAGCAGTTAAATATTGGATGAGTGATCAGCCCAAGACTACGGAAGAGGATTAGGGCCACTGGAAAAAAAAAAGTTAAGTGATTTTTACATTTTATTTCAGTTTAATACGGGAAAAAGTCAGAATTCTGACTTTTATTTTCAGAATTAAGACTTTTTTTTCCCTCAGAATTCTGACTTTTTTTCTCAGAATTGTGGATCTTAATGTAGATGGGCACCATGAAGGCAGAGATGTGGAGCACTCAGCTTCACTGACAAAGATGTGAGTTGTTTGAGAGAGCCAGTGACACATTGGTGGAAAATGACAGAATTAGGCAACTT